AACCCAAGAACTGTCTCCAACTATCTGCCAGAGCTTCTCTCAAAGGACTACCAAATAAACTAACACAGCATTTCTTCAAAGACTAAAAACTTGCTTGCATGCAAAGAAAACTTGTAAAACAACACGTACAATGCCACCTGTCATGACAACACTATACTTTAAGTTGTCATTTCTATGTCTATGCATGGTGGAGGGAAGAGGAGGCCCATCAGGAAATCAGATCCTGCCCCCATGTAAGTTAGAGCAATTGAGCAACTGCTTAACTTACACCACTAATGTAGGTCCCAAAGCAACCTTACACCAATGGAGGATATGCATAAGGGACTTCTGCTCTGCCTCACCCCAGTAAGTCCCTCTAGGAGATACCCTCTAAGTCTGAGGTGTTTAGGTTGACTGGCAAAGAAGTCTCCGCCAGTTTTGCACCAGCAAAGAGTCCCGCTACACAAGGGGAATTTTCCTTTGGCTATTCTGACAATAGCAAACTGGAGAACTCTACCCATTGTTTCTTGCATTAACACTTTATATATTTACAATCATTAAATTTAACAAAATGGATGAAAAATTGGCTATATCCCTAGCATATCCCAGAACCACAGGTGAAGTGTGATTCTATTGAAGAATCAGGGCCGGCTCCAGCATTTTTGCTGCCCCAAGTGGCAGGGGAAAAAAAGCCACAATCGGCACTTCTACCGCTTCAGCGACAATTCGGCAGCAGGTCCTTCCCTCTGAGGGGGACTGAGGGACCCGCCGCCGAATTGCCGCTGAAGAGCCTGATGTGCTGCCCCCTTCCATGGGCCGCCCCAAGCACCAGCTTGCTGCACTGGTGCCTGGAGCCGGCCCTGTGAAGAATGATATAACAATATGTAACTAAGACATAAGTCTCCAGATACAGCAAAACTATTTGTCTTTTTCAATAATATTCCTACATTGCCAGCTCTGAATCTCCTGCTTTAGTTACGGGTTTCAGAGTGGTGGCTGTGTTAGTGTGTACCAGCAAAAACAATGAGGAGTACTTGTGACACCTTAGAGACTAACGAATTTATTTGGGTATAAGCTTTTGTGGGCTAAAACCCACTTCATCCAGATGTATGGAGTGGAAAATACAGTAGGCAGATATATATACACAGTACATGAAAAGAAGGGTGTTGCCTTATCAAGTTGGGGGTAGGTTCTAAAGAGACAATTCAATTAAAGTGGAAGAGGGCAATTATCAACAGGAGGAAAAATCACTTTTGCAGTGGTAATCAGGGTGGCCCATTTCAAACAGTTGACAAGAAGGTGTGAGTAACAGTAGGGGGAAATTAGGATGGGGAAATTAGTTTTCAGTTTTTGTAGTTTGTTAGTCTCTAAGGTGCCACAGCTACTCCTCGTTGTTTCTGCCTTAGTTAGAAACCCTGCAGTATTTCCTAGTTTTACATTTTTTCTATGATTATTTAAAAAAATACTTCAAATTTAGTGTTTTTTCAAATCTATAAAATCATGGTCATACTTCTGAGAAAACAGATGCATAAAAGTCTATCAAGGAGGCCCCCAAATCAGCACTGGTTGCAGACCACTAAAAAGGCTTACCATTTGTATAGCTTCCACCTCAGGATCTTAATGCATTTCACAAACACTAATTAATTTAGCTCACAAACTCCCAGTTAAGTAGGGACATAACCTCATTTTATGGTTGAAGGCATTGAAGAAAAGAGGTTACGTGACTTGCAGAAGGTCACATGGGAAATCTGTGGTTCACAGTGAACTCAAACAGACCTCCTGACACCATCTTTTGCTTTCATGAGAAAACCAAATTCAGCACATCAGGCTTTTTGATTCATATTGAAGACTAGGTAACCATCTGCGCTAGGGTTCAAATCACTAGCTCAGCAGTTCTCAAAGTGGGTCACCAGGGCTAGCTTAGACTTACTGGGGCTTGGGCGGGCTCAGGCTTCAGTCCCCACTCCTGGGGTCATGTAGTAATTTTTGTTGTCAGAAGGGGATCAGAGTGCAATGACGTTTGAGAACCTCTGCACTAACTGATTGCGTTTGGGGGAAAAACATCTCCAGAGGCAGGTTAGAATTCTCCACTACGTATGTTCCTACACTATGAAAAACAAACAAACAAACAAAAATCCTGTGGCAGCAACTCTCAGAGCCTGGGTCAAGTGACTCAACCTTTGTGGCCATGTAGGGTGACCAGATGTCCCGATTTTATAGGGATAGTCCTGATTTTTGGGTCTTTTTCTTATATAGGCTCCTATTACCCCCCACCCCCGTTCCGATTTTTCACACTTGCTGTCTGGCCACCTATGGCCATGCTACAGGGCTAAATAGCAGTGCAGATGTTCAAGGTCAGTTCCAAGACTCTACCCTCTCACTGAGTTTCAGAGATCAGCTCCAGTCTGAGCCCCAAAGTTTACACTGCTATTTTTAGCCCCCCACAGCATGAGGCCAAGTCAGCTGATCCTGGTTCTGAGACTCACTGCCATGGGTTTTTTGGTTTTGGATATTTTGGATATTTTGGTGTTTTTGCTGTGTAGACATATTAGAGTGAAATAGGGGCTTTGTCTTATATACACAACTATAGCCCCAATCCCCCCAAAAATGTGTCCCAATTGTTCACACGTGCTATCTGGTCAGCCTAAGACAAACCCTAAGGGGTTTCTTACACTTTCCTCTGAAGCATCCAGTACTGTCCACTAATGGATTAAATGAACCATTTGTCTGAGAATATTGCCATTCCTATGCATCCTTTCTAAGATAGTTAACATATATAAAATAAAGGTAAGTCATCACTAAGGACCTATATGTATTCCATAAGAGAAGGAACTAAGTAGAAATGTAGTTAAATTCACTGTATGTATCAAAGTTTGCTGGTGGGAGATTAAACCACTGCTAGCAAGGAAAAGATTATATCTTCATTTCTGACTGAAACATGTGATTGAACTGCTATCCTAAAAGATATCAGAGGGGTAGTCGTGTTAGTCTGTATCCATAAAAACAATGAGGAGTCCGGTGGCACCTTAAAGACTAACAGATTTATTTGGGCATAAGCTTTCGTAGGTAAAAAACCCACTTCTTCAGATGCATGGATCAAAGTGGGTTTTTTACCCACGAAAGCTTATGCCCAAATAAATCTTAGTCTTTACAGTGCCACCGGACTCCTTGTTGTTTTTATCCTAACAGACAATGCTTATTCAGAAGTAAAATGAGATGTTGTCTGAATTTTCACCTAATTTTTTTTCATTTAAAAAAATCATAAAGACCACTGGACCCACTTAAAACATTTAAATGAAATCCTTCTCCTAATATTTAAATGAATTGTTTTAAACTATGAATAATAGTGATATAGTATAATAATTTGATTAAAATCTTAATAAAGAACAATCAAGGACAATCAAGACTAACTTGGCTAACAGATTTTGGGGAGGTATGGGAGGAGGATCTGATAATTGTCATCATCCCGGTTCCCAACTCTATCTGGGTTGTGTTATTTTTGTTGTTGTTGTTTTGTTTTAAGGTAATAATTTTTTCCTGGAAGGAATTGCCTCTGTCTGTCTGTATTGACCAGCACAACAGAACCCAGCCCTGACTGGAGCTTTTGGATATTATCTGAATGTAAATGTTTGACAGGAGTGATCATTCTGAAAAAGTCTTTTGGGAAAATATAGTTTGCTATCAGAAAAACAGATTCAATTTATGCCAAGGAACCATTTGTCCATTTCATGTATATTTTTAAATAGACACCTTGGCCCAAACTTTGCTTGCCTTATTCACAGGCTCAAGGACAGTAGGATTTGAACCAATGCCTACAACAAATACAGGGGATGGTTGGCAATAGGAAGACTCTCAAACTTTCACATGAAACCCAATTTTGAAGTGATTAAAGGACAGAGCTGTGATGTGTATAAGCTCAAATGATACCAACCCCAGTATCTGACCTGGCTGACTCTTCAGTTGTTGAGGAAAATAAAAGGAATACTCCACCTAAAAAATATACCTGGTGAGTCTTTTTTCAGCAGTAACCTGGGAGGACAGCTCTCCAGCTAAAGGTGGGAACCTAAAAAGGCAAACAATACAATTTTGTTTTCCATCTCTAATTTATAATTATATGGTAAAATAAGAAAGTACACAATTTTTCAGTAATACTTTTCTCTTTTTATGTCTGATTTTGTAAGCAAGGAGTTTTAAAGTGAGCTGAAACGTGGGGGTAGGCAAGACAAATCAAACTCCTGAAAGGGGTAAAGTAGTCTGGAAAGGTTGAGCGCAACTGATGTAGAAAATATTGTGGTCTATTTTGAGTTGAGTTGAGCTCATAGTAGGGAGACTTCCCAAAGCAATTACAAAATGTAAAAGTAGATATTATTTTGGCTTCTCTTAAGGGGCTGGGGAGGGAGGCGATTCTTTTTCGGGGTGGGGGGAGAGATATTGAGGCCAAATTTCAATCGGGGTCGCTCATGTTTTGTTTATAGAGGAGAAATCTGGAAGAAAGCTGCCGCGGCTGAAGCGCTGGGAGAGCCAGATGATTACAGGAGAGAAAACAAAGCAAGGGTGCTATCGATTCTCTCCGTCCCTCTTTGGCTGCTACATTTGTGCTGGGAGCCACGCACGAACGAACCGCGCCTGGGAAGAGCGGACTCCCCACTCCCTTGCAGCTCCTTCACGCCAGCAGCTTGGGGAGCCGGCAGGGAGAGCAGGGCAGCGGCACGGCCGATTCCTGGCAGAAGAGTCTGGGAGATGGAGCCTCCAAGGTTCAAAGGAGCTCAAACCTGGTGTTCCAGATTTTTGCTAAATCTAGAGATCAGCTGGGAACAGTGTGTGTGAGAGAGAAACACCCATCCCACGTGTTTGGGGGGGGCGCATGGGAAACAGCCTCGGGTGCGAAGAGGTTGGGGATTCCCCCGATCCCATGAGCTGGGGAGGAAGTTGGGGAGGGGGCACCTTTCCCTCCTCTTCACGCGCTCAAGGAAATTCCCATTTCATTCAGATGACTTATTGGATATGAGGGCTATTTCCGGATGCACTTTACGTCACTCACTCATTGGTCCATAAGTAGGATGCAGTTAATCGTGGACGCAATCTACAACACACCGTGAAAGGAGCAAGAAAGCAGAAGTAGCTCTCTGTACAGAACTTGACAGGGCTACGCAGCAGCAAGTTTCCTCCCGTGAAGAACCACTGGGATATGATTGTGCCTTGCACTTTAATCTTCGGTCTCCTGGCTTTCAGCCAAGCAGGTTAGCACTCAAACCTTCTCTGTCTCAGAGCCGCGGCTGAGCTGCCTTCGCTTGCATTTGTTTGCAGTGCTTTGCGCTGTCCTTTTCCCAAAGTTGAGGCTTCCATGGTGCGTTTTGTGTTCTCTTTGTTCTGAGACTTGGATGGAGGCACAGCCTTGAGGGGGCTACAGGGAGAGCGAGATTCAGAATTAATTTTCTAATGAGTGCCACTGCCTTTGGAATAGCACTGATGACACCCCACGCTTTTAAGAAATGGAGTCTCAGGGATAAGAATGTGCTATAGTGACACAGTTGACATAGGCACCAGTGCAGAACTCATGAGTTGTAATCCAGGAGCTGCCAAGATGGTCAGGGATACAACCCCATGCTCTGGGTTGTCCCTAGCCTCTGGCTGCTAGAAACTGGGAATGGATGACAGGGGATGGATCACTCAATGATTGCCTGTTCTGTTCATTCCCTCAGAAGCGCCTAGCATTGGCCACTGTCAGAAGACAGGATACCACAGGGTAGAAGGACCATTGGTCTGACCTAGTGTGCCATTCTTACGTTGTTGTTGTTGTTAGTATTATATTATTAAAAATATCATGTTGATGTCACATCCCAACCTCTCTGATTTACCATGTAAAAGTTGCTCCTGAGATTCTTAGTAGAGATGGGCACCAGCTGCAAATTTTCAGCCAGCATCCAGATTTCTCCAGTGCTCTGGGGAGTCGAGATTGGGAAGTGACACACAAAAACTGAATCTGGTTTAGGGCTAGGAAATAGGTAAATCTAGGATTTGGAGCTAAAGGGATTATAAATAGCTAACACAGTACCTAATTATGCCCACTTATTATTGAACCCAACTTTCATTGAATTCTGAGAACAGAATTAGGCCTAGAGAAATTATGACTTTTCATTTCCCCCATTCTCTCTTGCCACCTTCAAAACTTATAGTTTTACTACAAGTTTTAAATGGGATATTGAGAGATGATCTGAACATTCTGAGAGGGGTCATCAATTCTCTAGCAATGCCTCCTACATACAATACCAACTGAAAATGAATCACCCATAAACAACCGTCAATATTTTTTCTTCTTATATTAATAGCTTTTAAGTATATCGGTGCAGGGTTTAGTCTGAATTGGACCTACCTACAGTTTGTTTATTTTCTGCCATATTCCTCAGGAAATTGCTTACATAGCTCTTAAAACTTTGCTGAGGGAGATGAAAACATTGATTTATGCATTCCGAATACTATTTTATTAACATTACTCTAATTTTCATTGCAGCTAATCCTTGCTGCTCAAACCCATGCCAGAACAGAGGAGTGTGTATGACGACAGGTTTTGACCGATATGAATGTGACTGTACAAGGACAGGATTTTATGGGGAAAACTGTACTACACGTAAGTCTGAAAGTTATGTTTTTATAGCTAACAATAATGAAACTTGAAAGCTGCAAAATATTCCAGTATTTTACTTTCAGATTTGCATATTATTTAGTCCTCATAAGTAATTTACAATATTCTTAATCTTTCCCCTCAATGCTCACAGCGGAATTCTTGACCTGGGTGAAACTGTCATTGAAACCTACTCCGAACACTGTCCACTACATCCTCACTCACTTCAAAGGTGTCTGGAATATAATAAACAGCATTCCCTTCTTCCGTGATTCCATCATGAGATATGTATTGACATGTAAGTATCCTCCTTGTGCTATTATCCTTCAGTTGTAGACATTGTCCACAAGAGTTTAAGGAAATATTGTGTTGCTTAGTGATTTTATATACATACATACATACATACTTTAGATATATGGAACAGGAGATGTAGAAAGCAGAAGCATGGCATACATTTCACCTCATAATCAGGAGGCAACCACAAGGAGTGGGAGAACAGATGAAAGGGAATTTTTTTATGGGGTCCACCATTGATCAAAATTATTCTGTTATTTTTGTAAAACAAAAATTATGACAGCTAAAAAGCATATAATTTGTTCATCTCTATAATTGAATGTAGTGATTCAAACACTATATTATACACTGATGTTTTCCATTAAATAAGGTTTTAATACTAGAAAGTACCACGCTGTAAATTTGCTCTTAAATAAGGATGGCTCCAAGCAAAAAGCCTGGATCTCACCATACTTCACATTGGGCAGAGGTTCAGACTCAAATTGAAACATCATAGCTTGCCCCTTATCACTGTAATAGGGTGAAACAAAACGCTATATCCCACACCAGCAAATTTTGGCAAAGTTTATATCTGGAGGCAAACTTGATAAGCCTGGCCCCATTTCTACGGTAAAATAACCAAAATACTATCATCTCACTAATTTGAGTAATCCTATTGAAATCAATGGGTCTATTTACAAGAGTAAGGTGGAAAGGATTTGACCTTATAGCTTAATTAAATTAAATTTACTGTTTTAAGGCCAACATTAAAAATACTTTTTTTTTTTTTAATTTTTAGCAAGGTCACATTTGATTGACAGTCCACCAACGTACAACAGCCAGTATGGTTACAAAAACTGGGAAGCCTATTCCAACCTTTCCTTCTACACTAGAGCCCTCCCACCAGTGGCACTGGACTGCCCAACACCCATGGGTGTTAAAGGTAAGGAATAAAAGAGATTTCCAATGTTTGATTGTGGAGTGTGGGTGGGAGAGTCAATTTATTTTGCCCTCTTGGAAAACATTTAAGAGACTATTTTTTACAGAGCTACACTCTGAAATCTGCAACAGTATATTGTAAAATAGTATATTGGATATACTGTACAAAAAGCTAAAAACTAAGTAATGATTTACAGACTCCAACTGTAGTTATTGAGCTAAATGCTAGAAATAAAAGAAAGAAATTAAAAAGGCTGAGCTGCAGATTCAATATAGCAGAAATGAAGATTTTTAGCAATCAACTTGTGTTTTAAATCAAGTGAGTAAGGTTTGTAAAAGTTATAGCTAAGTTGTCAGCAGGTATAAATCAAGTATCTCCACTGTGGATCTAGCTCATAGATTTCATATATGATAGATACTTGTTCTAAGGAGAAAATGACATAGCTGAATTGAATAATAAAATAAGTTTTATTTCCTCCAAATGTAAGGGAAAATAAACGGATATGATTTTAAATTACAGGTAAGAAGGAGCTCCCAGATTCTGCAGTAGTTGTGGAGAAATTTCTGCTGAGGAAAAAATTTATTCCTGATCCTCAAGGCACAAATATGATGTTCACGTTCTTTGCTCAACATTTCACCCACCAGTTCTTTAAGACAGATCACCACAAAGGGCCAGCCTTCACCAAAGCTCTCGGCCATGGGGTAAGATCATAAAGTTGTGACTCTCACTGAAAAGAGCAGCAAAGTTTATCAGCCTTTGTGGCAAGAACAACATCCTTCAGAATGTTAGGAGCTACATAAACATTGTGATGCACATACTACGCAGCATTCTTTGTATTACTGAAAGCCTGACACTGCAGTCCTAAGGCGGGCAAAACTGTTGTTCAACAAGATGGAGGCTTTTCCGGTCCAGACTATAGGAGCCTAAATAATTCTATCAAAAATACCAAATGATTTAATTCTCCTTATCTGCACAGTCTTAATTTTCCAAATGTGGTGTTATTGTTTTCACACAAAGCCATCCATATCTACTGAGACCCCAAAAGGTTTTCTGTTGGACTGTTTCCATCACGCATAAAAAGGCATATACAGTACTGTAAAATAATTGTCATGTGCTACACTTTTAAAAGAGACTTTGCTGTTGAAAAGCAACTATTTCACATGAGTATCTATTATTTCTTTAAAACCAATTCCAGTTTAAAAGTCCACAAGAATCTTACAATATTATATTATATAGTTTCTAGGCTGTCCATTCTTTTAGACACATGTTTGAAGCAGTCTTTTTGAACTGACTGAGAATTTAAAAACTCATTGTTATGCATTATTTAATCCAGTTCTAACAAAAAAGCTGACTTTGTTTTTAAATCTTTATGTAAGGTATTCATAGGGTGCCAATCCTCATAGTATACTTAATATGCAAACATTTAAGCCCCAATCCAACTCCCATTGACTTAAACAGGAGTTGGATTCATCCTAAAATGACCAGAAATGTAGTTTGGCTTCATGTTTCAAATACTTTTATTTTATAGGTTGACTTGAACCACGTCTATGGAGAGACTTTGGATAGACAACTTAAGCTGAGGCTACTTAAGGATGGAAAGCTGAAGTATCAGGTGTGTTTCACTTTAAAATTCCTATTGTCTAATAGGAGAACAATGGAATTTTATAATTAACATTTGTTAATAGTATGAATCTTGTTAAAACACAGAGGGCCAAATTCAGCCATGGTGTTAGCAGGTCCCATTTACTTCAGTAGGAGCTGCACACATAAATACAAGGGCAGAATTTGGTCCACAGTCTGTATTTTTAGAATGGGAAAAATAAAATACTGGAGAACGTCTATATATCGTCAGCGATTCTTAGTCTCTCTCTCCTTTTTTTTTAACTGCAGATGATTGATGGAGAAATGTACCCTCCCACTGTGAAGGACACTCAGGCAGAAATGATCTACCCACCTCATGTTCCTAAGCACCTGCAATTTTCTGTAGGCAATGAGGTGTTTGGTTTGGTCCCAGGTTTAATGATGTATGCCACAATATGGCTCAGAGAACACAATCGGGTCTGTGACATCCTTAAGCAGGTGCATCCAGAATGGAATGATGAGCAGCTTTTCCAAACTACCAGGCTCATATTGATAGGTGAGTAAACATGAAAATCAGACTTTCCATATTAAACTATTTTACACAGATATAGAGCACAGCTTCAGGGGGCTGCATTCTCAAAAGTGATTTTTTGTGCCTCCTTATTTTGGGGGGCCAGCTTAAAATACCTTAAAGGTATTTTCAGAGGCTAGGGAGATCAGAACTTTCTGAAAATAGGTCTCTTTAAGATGTCTCAAGCTAGGCACCCAAAAGCAGAGGGACACAATCACTAGTCCACTTTTGAAAATGGAGGCCTTGGTTTTTTTGTTTTTTTTTTAAACAGCTATTAATTATAAAGTACATTAAAAAGTTATCAACATGTTACAATGATCTGGGAGGTTTTTCCTCCCCTAGGCAGCTTCAAGAGGTTTAATAATAGAACAAAATTTACTTAGTTTGTTAAATCAAATCACAATGAATTTTTTTTAAAGTTTTCATGACCTATGTTCAGCATTTGACAGTTCATGAGAAAACAGTCCATTGTAACCAGTATCTTGAATATCAAACAGTGGAGAATTCCTAAATCAAGTTGCATTCTGTTTCTTTTACTAAGGGAAATAGAACTGTGAGGTGCATAGTGAGGAAGCAGGAACGTGAGTTTAAGGCCGTGTCTACACTAGCACTTATGTCAGCAAAACGTCTGTCGCTCAGGGATGTGAAAAAAATAACACCCTCTTGAGCAAAATAAGTTTTGCCGGCATAAGCACTTGAGTGCACAGCGCTATGTCTCCCACTGACATAGATACCACTACTCGTTGAGCTGGTTTTATTATGTAGACAGGAGAGCTGTCTCCCATTGGCATAAGGCGGCTACACAAGCGCTCTTACAGCGGCACAGTTGTGACGCTATAAGCTTGTAAGTGTAGACATAGCCTAATTCTCAAATGTCAGGCATGTGCAGCTGGATGACCTTCAGCTGCTGCTAAAGTGTCTTATCTTCAGTGCAATCGCTGCTCTTTGTTACAGGTTAAGAGAAAAGCTTTTATTCGGTTTAGAATTTAGGAAGTTACTGGAAAGCTAACCCAAAATGATGATTGTTATATATTAGTCTCTAGCCAGTGACATTTATTTTCATGTTAATGTTTATGCACACTCCATTTGGGCAAGACAACTAATTGGTTGTCCCCAAATGAAGAATGCAACAGTATACTAAAAGGAGATAGTTGTATTTGACAGAAACAGCAACTCAGAATTGCGTTGAGATATTTATATCTTTTTCTGGATAAAATTGGCAATGTTTTCCCTACAGAAAAATCCTATAGAATGTAATAGCAAAATATGTCCTTGCTATAAAATTGTAAAAGGAAATTATAGAAAGGACACACTTCGCTACTAAATTCTAAATGTTTATTACATTTTAGAACTGCTATCATTTTCATCCCTATTCACTTCTATAAGAGTTTGTAAGAGTTTACAAAGCATTAAGAAATCTTTGACATCTTCTGAATCTTCCCCCAAAATATATTTATTTTAGAACACTCCTTGGCCATTTTACCACCATTTACATCCTTTCTTACACAGTTGGCTGAACATTCAGAATTGTTCAAGCAAACAAAACTGATACACACTTTCCCTGTTTCATTGAACTAATAGGAGAGACCATCAAGATTGTTGTTGAAGACTACGTGCAGCAGTTGAGTGGCTACTACTTCAAGCTGAAGTTTGATCCCGAGTTGCTGTTTAACCAGCAATTTCAATATCAGAATAGAATTGCAGCCGAATTCAACACTCTGTACCACTGGCACCCACTTCTGCCTGACAGTTTTCAGATCCATGACCAGGAGTACACTTTCCAGCAATTTCTCTACAACAACTCTATCATGGTGGAACATGGCCTTTCCCACATGGTGAAATCCTTCTCCAAGCAAATTGCCGGCAGGGTAAATATTCTCACTAAGATTTTTAGCTTTTGGACAGAGTCTAGAATTTTTGTGTGCCAATTAACATAAGCCAGAGACTTGGGTAAAAGTTTACTTGGAATTTCTTCTGTGAAAAAGAAAGATACCTCCTAATTCAAATAGTAAAATCTAATTCTTCCTAGTACTGGAGTTACCAAAGCAAATACACTTTAAATGTTATTGTCCATGAGCCCAGATTCTTCACTCTTAATACTGACAGAACTCTCACTGATTTCAATGGGAGTTTTATTTGTAGGAAGGCTTCAGGGTCAGGTCAAAAATGGCCTTTTAATTTAAAAAAGGAAAAGGAAAAACTCTTCCAAAGCTTGATATAATCTTGCAAAAAATATTATTTACTTGAAAATAGCACTTATTTTATAGTGAATTTCAGTTGTAAAGTTAAAATCCTAGCAATTCTGGGCCTAAACAAGTGTATCTACTGTAGCAGGTTGCACTCTCAGAGAAGTGCAATACAATAGCTGTATATTATCAATTGGGCCATGGTACTCTCCCAGTGTTAATGGAAATTGTAGGGCTACAAGCCATTCAAGGTACACTTCCTTACTCAATGGAAATGTTGCCTGAGGAAGGCAAGCAGGATTCCACCCAAAGTTTATACACACTATAAAAGTTGTGAGGAGTTTACCTAGAGTTGTTATTATTCTTTGTATCTTTTTTTGCAATAGGTTGCTGGGGGTAAGAACGTTCCTTTTGCAGTACAGAAAGTAGCTAAGGCTTCAATTGATCAAAGCAGACAGATGAGATACCAGTCCTTGAATGAGTACCGAAAACGCTTCCTAATGAAACCTTTTAAGTCATTTGAGGAACTTACAGGTAAGAGCTATTCTTTCTAATGGGGCCTTTTCTTACAAATGGTTAATAAAGTAGATGGGTCACTGTTTGTTTCCAGGATTATATAAACTGGGGTTGTGGTGGGAAGTAGGATTAAAGACCAAAAGAAGAGTGCTAAAAGGTGGGATTTTCCATTTACTATTCTTATTTATTAATAATTATTACAGGAGAAAAAGAAATGGCAGCTGAATTAGAAGAGCTTTATGGAGACATTGATGCTATGGAGCTGTACCCTGGCCTTCTAGTAGAAAGGCCTCGTCCTGGTGCCATCTTTGGTGAGACCATGGTGGAACTTGGAGCACCATTCTCTTTGAAAGGGCTGATGGGAAATGCTATCTGTTCTCCAGAGTACTGGAAACCAAGCACCTTTGGCGGAAAAGTGGGCTTTGAAATAATCAATACTGCCTCCCTACAGAAGCTCATCTGCAATAACGTGAAGGGCTGTCCCATCACTGCCTTCCATGTCCTAAACTCTGAAGCCACAGAAACGGCCACCATTAACGTCAGTTCCTCAAGCTCCTCAATGGAGGATATCAACCCCACATTGCTAATGAAAGAGAGATCCGCTGAATTGTAGTACATTGGTTTATTTATTTATTTAAGTAATTATATAAATTATTTATATTTATATCTTTATATTTAAAAAATGAAATCCAGACTATGTCTTACTCAGACAAGGGTTCCACTGATCAAGGCAGACCACTGTTTTTAAAGTTTGCATCACTGGATCCATAATTACAAATTCTGCAACAGAAAGAAGTATTCCAAAGTAAATGGAAAATGGTCCTTTTTTGTTGTTGTTGTTGTTGGGGGTGTTTTGCTATAAAACTTGACAGTAAATGTTTTGTTTTGTCACTTGATAGGCAACATAATGCTACAGGAATAAGTTATTTTGTCAACATATATTTTAATTTGAAAATGAGCTATCAAAAAAACAAGAAGATTGGATTAATGAAAACTGCAATAATTACTAATTACAGTACCATAATAGTAAATGAATGTAAAACAAATTATGCAACTTTAAATGTTTGTATAAAGTCAGCAAATGAAAAAGTTATGTTTCTCACAAACACTACCTCACTATCATGCACATATTTTATATTAACATTTAATGAGGAGCCTTAACTTTTATTTTCTGACTTTGGACATTGAAACCTATGCTTTAACGTTCCATTAATACTCTTTTTAAAATTAAAATGTACTTTATAAAAATATATAACCTGTGTTTAAATCCCAATTAGGTTTTGGAGTTTGCACAACATAGTAGGGTGGAGGGAAAAATTTGCTGCTATTTAGCTAGAAGTAGTTATTTGCCAGGCTGGGATAACAGGGCATTTATATTTTGATAGGTGTGTTGTATATTGCAAGAAATCATATCAAGAAATTACACAAAATGATTTTATAATAGCACTTTAGATTTTTACATGCAGGGATCATTTCATTATCTTTAGGAGCGGGTGTAGAATGGCATTTTCTATTAAAACTGCTGGGGGATTTAGGTAGAAAGAATGCAATTATTCAGGCTGGAATTGGTCAGAAAACAATTTTGGGAGAAAAAAATGGCCAGGGAGATTTACTGACCACTTGTGGACAAGGCTTCTGTTTTATATCACATCTGAAAGATACAGTCTTCCCAGCACTGTATATACTGCATCCTTAATATAGGATCGGAAAATGTTAGTATGAATATGGCCCTGTTACAATTTGACTGTGACTTTCCCTAAATTTCTAGTTACTTGTTTTTACACTTTGATTATTTTAATTAGGCTGCTCATTTTAAGAGATGTTAATTTGTAACTTTCAATACTGATAACTGAAAGAGGAACACACAGTCTATTGTACACCAAAGTGTATGCGGTTGGAAGGCTTTTTACAGATATGTTTGGGGATATATTTTTTTTCTATGCAATGCACAAAGTGGAGAAAGCACAGTGCACATTAAAAGATGCTGAGGTTTCTTAAATTCAGAACTGTAAATGTTCATAAATGGACTTACCCAAAAACTTTCAACATTAATCCTCTCTAGGGAAAAAAAATTGTTTTAAAATCTGCACCATCTTGTTGCCCACTCTATTACAACTCTGAACTGAGTTAGTTTTCAGAATTAGGGCCCAATCCTTCTGTCCCTTTGTATGAAATTCAAAATGAGAGTTCCAGATACAACCAGTTTGAATGTAGATCATAAGCTACATGGGAAAGAAAGCCAGTCTTCCTCTATTTTGTACAATGCAAGCACAATGTCAGCACTCTAATAAGTTATTAATTAATAATATATAATCCCAACTGATAGGGTTGGGATGATTACCATATATGGCTATGAGAGCATGAGATTATTTATATGTAATGTTTTATATTAAATATGTTTGAATGATTTTTCCACCTTTATTTTTTTTACAAAAAGAACATGTTTAAAATACAACTGTTAAAATAAAAAATGTACAGACATTAACTGTGAGTACTGGTATTTCATACTTGATTGCAACAGAACATTTTAGTTGATTCATAATATCATAAGAACAGCATATAATTTTATTTCTCCCATCCCACGCAAGAGTTCATCTTAGAAAATGCATTATGTTTACTAATAATGCAAGATTAGGGTAAATCAAGATCTAGAATTTATAGCTTTTGGCAAGTCCTAATGCAAAGATGTGTTAAAAATTAGCAAAATTTGTGTCAGAAAAGTGTTCCTGATTTTTTGGAGGAGGTGGGGGACAAAAATGTAAATGAAAACTTCCCAGCCAATACATGGTCGGGGGAGAGGGATGAATACGAGGAGGGGAAGGCAGCAAAACACGTGGTGTTATACAGACAAAACTACACAGGATCTTTTCAGGGGACAAGACAAAGATGCCACATTTATTATGATAACAATTTGATTTATGACCAATAACTAATATCTTAATCCTTATACACACACACACACATCCATCAGATGTTCTGCAGCTGCTGCATAGTTACCAGTCCTGAACATAGCTTGAGTCTGTGGCTTGAGTTTGTAGCTTGGGTTCGTAGCTTGTGGCGGCTAACTGGCCAGGAAAGCTGAGCACAAGGACGAGCTGGGTCTCTGTTGAGCATGCACCGATGCCCTTCCATGTTGGCAGCAGAATGTTACCCTCCTCCAAAGTTCTCCTTCTCACCCATCCTTTTTGTAGGCTTTAGTTTGAATCCAGAATCTATAGGTCTTGCTGTGTCACCCTGCCTCTGGGTTTGGTGATTGATCACCCGTCAATTGCAGATGTGACTTTCAGCCTGGGACCTGGCTTTGATCTTCCTTCTATTGTACCTTTGTTCTTCTCTTTTTGGGGTGGACTCTTCTTACTTTGTTAGGGCTCTTGTCTGCATCTTCAGCCGTTAGTGTTTGAACTCTATTTCATCAGAACAGGCTGGGACTGGAGGTTGATTCCATCATCCATACATACCACATTCACACATCTAAACTAAACGAATAAGATTACAGCAAGGTTTGCAAAAATGAAGGTTGCAGGAAGCCCTTACAAAATGGAGTAAGCGTTTTAAAATGGGGTTTGAATTACAATATGGCAAACAGTGAACAGAAGTTACAATATAGACAAGTGTAGTGGATGGTAAACAGTGAACAGAAGTTAAAATATAGACAAGTGTAGTGGATGGCAGTGAACAGAAGTTACAATGTAGTCAAGTGTAATGAATGGTGAACAGAAGTTACAATACTGAAACAGTGCAAGTCTTAATGATTTAAGCAGGAATTAGATTGACAGTGAAATTTACAAGAGCAAGTGGCTGAACAGCTATGGATCTTAACAAGCATCTTAATTGTCAATTAGCCAGTTATTGGGGTAACCCGGTTTATGAATGAATGTTGTTTCATTCATAAAACTTTACTTATGAAGTTACATTAATAAAGAGAACAATTAAAAACAATTTCATTTATCAGTTCTACATTGTGACTCCAGCTTTCTTTAAGAGAAGATTTGGGGGACATAGTAGAAAGAAAGTAAAGGGTCTGGCCATGAGCAAAAGGGAAAGCGAATCAGGATGGGGGGCAATTTTATCAAATATAATTAACCATCAATATAATGAACAAAGAATAGTTTAAACAAGAGGTCTTCATAGCTGATCTCCCAACCATAGGCTGACCCTTGGAATAAGCAATAATTAGGAGACCATATGATCCACCATGTCAGGCAACAAGACACCAGAGGTGGTATTCCATCTTGGCTGGTTCATCCTCTCCCTCTGGAGCTAGTTGCTGAAATGTGGCCGCTAGAAAGTGAGACACAAATTCTGCAATAGTATTATTTACTTCCATTGTGTTTGAAAACTCACATTTTGTTGAATGTGATTCAGCACACAAACTCACATGGTTCCCATAACTCTGAGATCACAACATCCCCTGCACATTATAGACAATTTCAACAGTCCATAGTACTAACTTCCTGTTCACATCTCATTCTGCAACCAAACATGGAGAAGAACTTCAGAACATGAAATGCCTGAAGAAGACACCTGATGTTCATTTTGTCCACCAAAGGAAAGATTCCAGATATGCCTCACCCTCATCTAGATTCCTGGGAGATTGGTCCCATGAAAATTGAATAACAATGTCCCAAGGACATCAAAGCCCATTTACCTTGCTCTCTCCTACTCCAAGGACATGCTAACGGCTTCACAAGTAAGAGCTGCCCATGGGCATTCCTCTGTCAACCTAGCAAGTTCCATCAACTGTGAAACTATCCTTTTTGTGGGAGTGAGAGGGGGGTACCAAGGAGTAGGTAAAACATGGACTTCATATTGCACTTGGCCAACTAATCTTGTTGAAGCAGCAAGGTCAAACATTAATATCAGACCACAACATCTCTAAAGTAGATTGGCCCCACCACCTGTCACAGCCATTCCCTGAATGGAAGGCTCTGCCATCACTGCTTTCCTGTGCAATATCATAGGACCCTGCTGCCAGGAACCATGTGAGCTGTATCCTTAACAGATCCATAGGGGCAGTAACTACACCATGTGATTGTAGTGCATTCTCCCATAAAGTTCCCCTCAGGGAGAGATGGAGATACAGCACACTCTCAGCCTCAGAGTGCTGGGCTTGCCATGCACAAAGCCTGGCACTGCCTTTTCTGGGTATCTCTAAAGGAGAATGGCATGGATTTCAGCTGCCCTTCCTTTTGGTCTGCGTGTGAGGGGACAGCAGGAGAAGGATAGAGATTGCCTACTGCCGCTGTCCATATAGCCACAGAAGAGGCAGCTAGAACAGTCATCCAGCTTCTAGAATGTGGCTGGAGAGGAGGGAGGAGCACCTAGACCCAACATTACTGCATTTGCCTTTGATGCCAAGCAGAGAGAGAGAGGAAGGGGAAAGCAACCAAGAGCACTGCACTGCTCATGGGGTACAGAAGAGAGACCTATGCTTTTGCTAAAAGGCTTATGACCCCAGTCAGGAGACTTATTGTGGGTGGAGGAGGGGTGTTAGCAGGATAAAGTCATGTGCAGGTGGTGATTCTGGCTGCTTCCCACTGCTTCACAGGGCAGTCATAGAGAAGAAGAGGGTCCCTATCGCCCTAAATTAGTGTAGGGACAAGCAGGGTGGATTGTTTGAATGAGGCATATCTACGGTAGCTCAATAGCAGAAGGGATCCGCCTTGCCTTTGAGCACAGGCAAGTCTGGGATGACACAAAGGGCAAGAATGTTCCTCGGTGTGACCTGCACTATGGAATATTTGCAGTCAGCAAGGTAATTGTTTCACCCTAGGTGCGGTGGGATGTGGTATAAACCCTGATTTTACAGCATAATACTTAAGTAGGTGCAGATCTTTAAGGGTTTGCTCTGCAGTTTTGCCACTTCCTCCAATGATAAAGTCATTGCGGAGAAACTAAATGGATGCTTTGCTTCAGTCTTCACGGCTGAAGATGTTAGGGAGATTCCCAAACCTGAGCTGGCTTTTGTAGGTGACAAATCTGAGGAACTGTCACAGATTGAAGTGTCACGAGA